TCGCTGGTTTTGGAAAATTCTATCATGTGATCTCCAGCTTCATTTCTATCACCAAATTCATATTCTCCAACTATTTCTCCTTCCTGTTTCCAACTTTTTTGCATTCTAATCATCAATAATTATCAATGCATCTTGATCAATTTCTGACTGAAGTGGTTGGTAGAATTCTTCAATTTCTTCCTCACTAGCTTTTGTGGTTGTGCACACATTTGAAGAATAGTTATATTGATTGGATTTTCTTGAAGGCAGATCGATATAGTCCTATCACGGACAGCATTGTACTTCATGATTGATTTTGCAATGTCCTTTTTGACAATGCCATGCCATTCCTCTTGATTCTGCTATCCCCAGCATTTGATTTTCTGATTCAAAATGGCCAATGCTGGTCCATTTCAACTCAATAATGCCTAGCATATTGATCTTTATGCATTCTGTTCCATTTTTGACCACTTCCAATTTTCCTAGATTCATACTTTGTACATTCCAAGTTCCTGTCATTAGCAGACTTTTGCAATTGTGTCTCCTTTCCTTAGGCCATGCCCCATCAGCAAATGAAGATCCCAAAGGCCCCACCCCTACAGGCTCTACCCTACTCAGGCCACCATGGTTGACTCCACTCTGAGAGATCAGCTGCTCAGTGGTCACATTTTGAATGCCCTAGGACCCATCCGCTGGCACGATCTCTGATAATGTTCTGCTTCCATTCTGTAAGCCCTCAGTATCTGACAATGCTCCAAAGCTAAGCTTAAAGTTTTCAGCGGCTTCTTCCTCTACAGTAGGGAGCCAACCCTTCGTGGTTGTCTGTTGGTAGTCTGAAAGCTCCACGGAAACTTGTCCATCTTGGGTGACCCTGCTGGTGTGTGAAATACCAATGACAGTTTCCAGCAACACAGCAACACACAGCCACCACAGTTGGACACACTGACAGACAAGTAGTGGTTTATAACATGAGAGAGACAAATAAAACATGCAATCAAACATTTAAATGTTTACATTTAATTTCTTCAATTTCTCCCTCCTTGGGCTTCAAAGAAGCTAATGACTCCTAACTCAACATTGTTGTAAAATTAAACACTCTCGGTAAAAGTCTACACAGTAAACCCCAATACCAGAAAAGCAGTTGTAGAATTATGATTTCATCAGGGCTGGTGGCCAGAGGGGCCCTGTAACCTGCCTTCCCAGGACCCAAGGCACTCACCCGGATGGCCCGACTGTAGACAATAAGCTTGAGGATGCACAACGTCTGTAATCCATTGACGATGTTGAGGTAGGAGTAATGCATGCCCTTGATCACTCGGAAGCTATAGGGGAACATGCAAATGATGATGATGAACACATCCAGCAAGTTGTAGCCTTTCTTCCAGTACCCAATGGGGTTCACATAGACTTTCATGAAGAACTCAAGGAAGTAGTTGGCCAACAACAAGATCTGTGCAATCTGCAGGGGCGGCAAAGTGTGAGGAGTCAGGTCAGGCTGCAGTGTCCTATAGTCCTGGCCCTCCCCCTTCAAGGGCACCCAATCACAGTGTGCTTCTATGCTACCCACACAATGCAAAAGGCCAGGCAAATCCCTGACACACATCAGACACCCAGTGTGTTTGACTACCTTCTCCTGTCTACGTCTTCCCTTACCCCATGACCCTACACTGGGGCTAGGTTTGACCTCAGGTGCTTGCAAAGGACTGGCTTATTGACAGAGTGACTATATAGACCCAGTATGAGGGGTTTTCAGAAAGTCATGGATGTATTGCATTCATCTCCCCAGCAAGAGATGGATTGGACTGGATTGGGGGATAGTGGTGGCCAGAAGAGGCTGTATTCTGAATCTTTTGTAGGCAATAATGATGCTGCTGGTGAACTAAAGGCAAGGAAGACGCCTAATGTTTCAGGTGGAACAACTGGGTGATACTTTGACTGGGATAAGTTTGGAGTGGGCTGAAGGGAGAGAGACGGTTTCTGGAGGGAGTAAAAAGGTTTTGTGATATATCACCTTTTAAATCTATGTCAGATGCTGTCACTTGAAGTTGTAGTCCAAGTCACAAGCATCCATTTGGATAACATTAGGGCGGCTGGTGTTTTTATTTGTTCTGAATACTTAGATTTGTGGTCTCCACATCATGATTTACATGTGGCTTTAAAAAAAAAATCTGTTGTGTGCTATTTAAGACATGCAAAAAATTTAAAGAGTAATATAATGAATAATCATATGCTACCCAGCTTAAGAAATAAAATATAACCAGTGCAGGTGGAGACGTCTCAGGATCCCCTTTGGCAATTTGCCTTTTTCCCTTAAAATTATTCATATGTGATTCACCCATGTTGCTATCTGGAAATCTAGCTCACTGTTTTACCAATAGTCAGGGATCCCACTTAAGAAAATGCTACAAGTTCTTTATCTAGTTACTTGTTGAGTGATGTTCAGCTTGTGTTCAGGGTGTTTTGGGTTTCTTTCTTTGTTACCCTTTAAACAGGGCTTTTATGTTTGGACAATTCTGGTATGTTTTATTGTACACATGTGTAAAAGTCTCTCTCAATTGAATACCAAGGTTATAAGATATGAACATTTTCAGTTCTACTGGATGTTACCAAATAATTATTGTACCAGCTTACTTTTACAACAGTAATGTTCCTGTTGCTCTGTGTACTTGTTAATACCTCCTACTGTCCGACATTTTCACGTTTGTCAATCTGATGAATATGACATTGCATTGGGGGGGG